TACACAAGCACCACCACATTCAGCTAGACATTTTATTTATATATGAAATATATCTCAATTGTAAAGCTTGCAAAAAAATGGGTTATGGGGTCTTAACATGTTACAGCCCATAAATGGCAGTCATTCTGGCTTTTTTTTGTTGTTGTTGTTTTGAGACAGGGTTTCGTTATGCAGTTCAGGCTGGTCTAGAACTCACTTTGTAGCCCAGGCTGGCCTAAAACTTCTGGCGATCCTCCTGCCTCAGCCTCCTGAGTGCTGGGATTACAGGCATGTGCCATCATACCCTGTTCACTGGCCTTTTTTCAGTTCCCCAAATATACTACGCTCTTTTGTACGTAATAGCCTTTGCACCTGGTAGTCCCACTGCTTATGTAACAGAGAGCTAAAGGTTGGGCCTGCAGATGCCCAATAGGTAACTAGAAGCAAGATATAAATATTGGCATCTCTGCCTTCATTTTTTGTCTTTGTTTGTTTGTTTGTTTGTTTGTTTTTCCAGTACTGGGAATCGAACTCACTACCTTGTGCTTGCCAGGCAGGTGCTGTGCTGCTGAGCTAAATCCCCAGCCCCTCTGCCTTCATTTTTGGATGTGGTGGTGCTTGTGTATCTCCTAGCATTGGGAGGTTTAGATCTCTGCTCAGCTCTGTATGGTAGAATAAGGAGATTCTAGTAATACAAGGTTTATTAGTCCTAAAATTCTCTCCCCTGTAATGGCTTGTGTCTAGATGTCCCCTCAAAGCCTCATGTAGTCATAGGTGTGGCTTTTTCAGAGATGGCTCAATCTAGAGTGTGTGATTGATTCATGGTGCAATGCTAGGATAAGGGTGCTAAGATTAAGGGTGGGTGATTACAAAATCAGTCCTCTGATTGGTTTGGCACTGCCCCTAATCCCAGTAACCTAGATACAATTTTTTTTAGTCTTTTCTTGAGACAGGGTCTCACTATGCAGTTCAGGCTGGCCTTGAGCCCACTTTGTAGCCCAGGCTGGTCTCCAACTTGCAACAATCCTCCTGCTTCAGCCTCCTGAGTGCTGGGATTACAGGTGTGCGCCACCACGCCCGGTTTAGCCTAGATACAATTTAAGGAACAAAAAGAGGCTTGTCTTGTCCCTGGCTTACTTTTGCTTTGCTGCCTTCTGCCTGCCATGAACTGTTTCTCCTCCGCAATGCCTGTCTGCCATGCCACTCTGCCTTGAAGCCACGCGATGATGGGTTAAAACCCCTACGAACCATGAGCTAGACAAATGTTTCTTGCTTGAACTTTGGGTGTCAGGTATTTTTGCCTCAGCAATGAGAACAAAGTAACAAGACAGCCTACCTCATCCCCCTTTACCACTGAGGACAGTAAAATAAGAGTGAAGTAGTTTTCAGGATTTGCAGGGACATCTAATTGCCAGCTTCTGTTCTAGATCCTTCTAAAACAATGCTTAGGGGCTGGGGATTTAGCTCAGTGGCGCAGCGCCTGCCTGGCACGTGCAACATCGTGAGTTCGATTCCCGGTACCGGAATAAATAAATAAATAAATAAAACGATGCTTAGAAGTCTCCAGTCATTGTTCTAAATCTGCAGTCGCTTCAGGTTCTGGGGAAAGCAGAGCCTCCTAGGTCACCCTGTGATGAGGTCACTCCCCAAGCAGGGACAATGACCCCATGACGTGGACGAAGGCTGCCTCCCCTTAAGCAGGAGCTGCCGTGTCACGATGGGAGCCAAACTACCTCTCAAGCAGTGATGGCTGTCCTGGGACCTTGCAGAACCAGTCTTGAGAGTTATATCAACCAGGGCAGGATTACCTGCTAGCTAGATAAACCCCAAGCCTTGCCTTTGCTCCCCTTTCCTGTGAAACCCAAGGTTTCTGTTAGCCTTTGGAAGACAGATCTTCAACCCCTTGTCCGTCCTGCCGGCATGGTCAAGCTGATCAAAACGCCTTCCCTACTCTTCGCGACTGCCGGTCTCCTTGATGGGACTTTGGGGACAGGGGGCTGAGCCTGGTCTGTTGGAACCCCTGGAGCTGGCGCATTCACCCTAAGCCCCTCGTAACACTTGGTGCCTTTGTTCTTACCAGCACACAGCCACATCCATTGCCCATTCTCCCCTTCCCTTTCCTTCTCTCCTTACTCACAAACTATCTTTTTTACAATTCATAACTTATCAGCCGGGCGTGGTGGCGCAGGCCCGTAATCCCAGCTCTTGGGAGGCTGAGGCAGGAGGATCATTGTGAGTTCGAGACCAGTCTGAGCTACAAAGTGAGCTCAAGTCCAGCCTGAACTGCCTAGTGGAACCCTGTCTCAAAAAGCCAAAAAAAAAAAAAAAAAAAAAATTAATAACTTATCAAAATGCACACAGTAGAGAAAATGGCTGGAATGATGTACATTGTAGCTTTTATGAATTACTTTGCAAAACCTAAGCATAAGAAGGTACACACTTCTCAAGGGTAAGGGGACTCAAATATAACTATCTCACTTTGTAGGTGGCGGAGGGATATGATCCCAATCGTTTTTAGCCATGCTGCTCACCTGGTCTTCTAAGATCAGAGCAGTCCGTGGGGCTTAGAAAATGAAGGAACACTGGAGCCGGGCCTTTGTTCCATGCGGTGGCTGCCAGCATGCTCACTGTTCTGGGTGGTGGGTTGCAGGTGGAAAAGCTCAGCCTGGGGCCAAAACTCAGACACTGGGACCCTCTTGGATTGTCCCAACTCCTAGGAAATGCTTAGCTGTCTGTGCTTCTGGAACCCGCCCCCGCCCGACCTGCCACCTGCTGGGGTTCTGTGAGCGGCTTTGGTGTGGGTCTGTCGCTCTGGAACCTGCCCTCCCTTTACCCTCCAAGTTGGATTTGCACTTTTTAAAAAAACCTTCTGTAGAGAGTGGGTGGCGGGAAAATGGGGAGAGGGGACCTGGGGAGTCCTGGTAGGTCCCCAGCTGAGGTTCAGCCTTAACTCCCTTGAAATCACCAGAGAAGAAGACTAAAGTGGGAAAAAGAAAGAAATGGATTCTTTCAAGCTTCTAAGAGAGTTTTGCAAACAATTGGGGTAATTAAAGGTTCTCAGAAGTAGCCGCCGGTGCCCTTTTCACCGAGGGAATGTGGGCCAAGCATGATATATTAAAAGAGAGGGAGCTGCTCTATTGAAGTTAAAAATAATCTTCTGTCACATGGCTAATTTGTTGGAATGCAGCAATAAAGGGCTGTGGGCAGAGGGAGAGCTGGAAGCAGCTGGGGAGTTTGCAGGCACAGTGCACGCCCTGGGGACTTGGTTCACAGGGAGAGAAAAACAGTCCCAGCTGACTTAGGGTGGCTTATCAGAAAGCCCACAAAAGGGGTAGGAAGAATGAAAAGCGCGCTGTGACCTTCGGCTTATCGGACAGGGGAGGGATGGGTCGCAACTTGTCTCCTGTGCTCACGGATGCTGACTCACTCGGTGAGGAAGGCTTTCCAGGTCCCTTGCCTTTGAATCCATTTCAAAGGAATACATAACCCCAAGGAGCTCTTTGATCCTCAATCCATGGGAAAACCAATCTATAGGGTCTCCAGTGGAAAAAAGTTCAGACCCGGAACACAAATTCTAGTTTAAGGCCCTGAATATTTCAACCTTTTTTTAAATGTTGGTGTTGAGAGGCCGGGGATATAGCTCAGTGGCATAAGCGCTTGCCTGGCAAGCACAAGGTCCTGAGTTTGATTCCCTGGTACCAGGAAAAAAAAAATGTTAGCGTTGAAAGAGAGGGAAAAAAATTATTTAACATAATCCCTGAATTTTTCACTTGAGGCTGGCTTGTCCAAATTCACTCAGCCAGCGAGTGACAAAGCTAGCTAGAGAGGAAGGGATGTGTCGGTTTAGGCAGTGAGTGCGGTTTAGGCAGGTGGGTCACATTCAGGCCCCACCAACTGGAGAAGCTTGGGGCAAGTTCCCAGCAGCCCTCAGGGTTAGTTTTACTATTTGTAAAATGGTCATAACAATAGGACACACCAGGGGCTGGGGGGATTTAGCTCAGCGGCAAAGCGCCTGCCTGGCAAGCGCAAGGTCGTGAGTTCAGTTCCCGGTACCGGAGAAAAACAAAAAAACAAAACAAAACAAAAAAACAATAGGACCCACCAAGCATAGCCGTACTGCACGTAGTGTTTAGTACAACATCCAGCCTGAAAGAAATGCATAGTATAAGGCTATCTCTTATCCTATAGATTCCTCTACACCACCTTGCATCACATTCCTTGTGCTTTTTACGGGGTTAACTTGCCCCCACATCCTTTTCGGTTTGAGTGGGATTCTTTTTCTCCCTTTCACACTTCCAACTCTCACCCATTACATACAAGGAAAAGGAGGATGTTGAGCTGTAGAATAATCTTTCCGTCTTCAGGTAAAGTAACACTTTCTCCAGCAGGAAATGCTAGACATTCTAACACACCCGTGCGGCTTGTTTTCTCTTCAGCCGTCTGCCCTCTGGCCTGTATTTTCAGTATGGTTTCCAAGTTGCTGACAAGCAGAAACAGGACTAACGCGAAGCAAGTATTGCTGCTCCAACTGCAGCAGCCAGCTCCACTGGACTCATTCAGTGTACTTGATCCATTTTCAGTCTCACCATGGGCACCACTCACGGAAGAAGCTCCTAACAGCCAGGGGATGCTTGGGTTGCTAGTCTGAGCCCCTTTGGGAGGTGGAGGGCAAGTTCTGTGCGTGTACTACTTTGCAAATACCAGAAACCTACCTCGCATTTGCTTGAGATATCAAAGGTGAATGTAAGGCCTCCTGTAACCAGAAGACCAGATTTCATGTATGCCTAGGTTCAGCTGTTCAATAAAGTCCTCAAGGCACCTTTCTGCATTGTTGGATTCCATAATTCGCGCTGATTCTTCCCACTTGGCAGACAAAACAGCTATGGGAGAGTGCGGGCTTCTTTTTTTTTTTTTTTTTGGTCTAGTTTAGCATTCTTAAAGTGGTAGTTCTAATCCCCACCCCTTAATTTGCTTTTCCTGATTGGCTGTTTTAAATCACATTTCCATCCCTGAATCAGCAGGGCCTCGAAAAAATGAGCTTCTCTGATTGGACAGGTTGGGTCACGTGCTCCACGTCGCCAAGAAAAACTGGGACGTACTGATCTGTACGGTCACCAGCTTCACGTAGAACAATTCCTTAAAGAAAGATGGGAGGCTGCCGAAACCAGAAGAAAGGGAAAAACTGGTGGGTATAAGTCATAAATACCGAAGTCTATAACAGCACCTATGTGTATTTTCCTGAAATGGTGGTTTCATAGCTTGTTTTACATTCTCAAAGTGTTATAGAATCCTAGAAACAACTTTCAGAGAGGGAAATGCTTCCTTCTAGGCCAGATATTTCCTTGTGTGGAGAGTCATGAACTAATACTATTATAGATAGTTAAGACAGGCAGGAATATTATAGGCAGTCAGGCAGGGCTAGGCCCTGGAGGGAGTCAGTGCAAAAGATGAGGACACATCACAACTGTGCCGGGAGGCACATCTGTCAAAGACCAGACCTCAAGATAAAGACGGAATGACCTAGGCTGAGCGTGGTGGCACACGCCTGTAATCCCAGCCCTCGGGAGGCTGAGGCAGGAGGATCGTTGCGAGTTCGAGGCCAGCCTGGGCTGCAAAGTGAGCTCAAGGCCAGCCTGAACTGCATAGCAAGACCCTGTCTCAAGAAGACCAAAAAAAAAAACAAAACAAAACAAAAAAAAACACGGAATGACCAGGCCTACACCCCTCCCCAAGGGGTAAGCAATGTACTATAATAGGTATCACCTGGTCCAATGAAGTCTCGATTGACATCAGTCATCTAGGTGGGGGACTAGGACCTCCTGATCCACCCCTTCCTAAAAAGGTCTTTGTTGTTTCCATGTACGCTTGGTACGCAATCTGCTTCCCTGCCGGATCAAGATTACCTAGGTGGCTATACTTGCAATCTTGTTGGCTGATCATACTTTTGTCCCAGTTATACCCACCTGGTGATTTAGTACCCACCTCATGATTTTACTGTATAAAACTTTCTTTGAGAAGTGGGCTTGTTGGCAACCTACTTTTAGGTCCTTTTCTGTCTCTCAGGAGCTATCTTTGTCAATAAATTCATTTTTTAAAACAAGGTTTCACTGTGTAGCCCAGGATGGCCTCGAGCTCACTGTGATCCTCCTGCCTCAGCCTCTGGAGTGCTGCGGTTATAGGTGTGTGCCACCATCTCTGGCTCTTTCTACTCTTAACCTCGGTTGTTCCTTAGAATTCATTCTTTGATTTGGGGGAGCATAAACTCGGCAGTCGGACATCTCGCAGGTTGACTGTTATATTCTTTCCCTTGTATAATATAACATTCCAGTTCCTCTTCTGCCCTTACTCCTGCACATAGGGAAAGGAGGGCATTAGGAGAAACAGCATGAAGTGCAGGGTCTTTCTCTTCCTAGGCTCTGAGGATCAGGCTGCTGAGAGGGGACTAAGAGGGGGGCTTAGGGGCAGAGCACTGTCTAGCACGTGAGAGGCTCTGAGTTCAAAGAAGGAAAGAAAGTACTGGGAGGGAGCACAGAGTTTTCTCTCCACTCTGGTCCGACACTGGGACTGGTAAAGGTCCGCTCTATTCAGATCTGCACACATATTCAGCCACATTCTCCAACCTACAGCATTTATCAGAAGATAATCCATCTTCTGACTTTATCGTCCCCTCAACTGATTAAGAACCTGAGTGGGGAGGAGGCCTGTTACTTATTTAGTGCTTTCTCAAAAGTCAGTAAGAACCATCGGCCTAGGGCCTCCGGGACCCACAGATCCCCCTTTGCCTCTTTCCTTTCTTCAGAGTCCCCACAAGGAGGAGCAAGGAGCCGTTCGCCTTGGAAAATGACAGAAGGAGCTGGGTACTGATAGCAGGCTCAGAGGGAAATCACAAGAAAGGCAAGAAAGCCAGGCTTACTCGTACCAGCAGTAAGAGGAACTGAGTTATTTCACGCGGATGACGGGAACAAAAACAATGGAGAGGCGACTTAACAGCAGCCTTCACCAGAACCACGGGCAGGGTGTGGCGTCCCTGGTGTTTTTCCATAGCCTCACTCTGACCTGGATCGGAGGCACATCTGTCCCCCTTCCGCCCATCCCACTTTTACGCTTCTACGTCCACCTCTTGGGAAGCAAATTGTTCCACTTCCACAGCAAGGTACAGGAGATTGGATCACACACACCAACTTAAGTAATTTTAGTATTACTTAATTTTAATTACAAAAGTAATGCATAATATTTGGAAAGAATAAAATAGATAAAGAAAAGTATCATGATGAAAGCTAAAATCAGCTCTTAAGCCCTCAACTTTAAGGTAGCTATTTAGTATTTTTATTACTGTGCAACCTTTTTTCTATACTTTTTTTTTTTTTGAGACAGGGTCTTGCTATGTAGTTCAAGCTGATCTTAAACTCACTATGTATCCCAGCCTGGCCTTGAACTCACAGCGATCCTCCTGCCCCAACCTCCCAAGTGCTGAGATTACAGGTGTCTGCCACCGCACCCTGCTAAAATTTTTTATTTTTCTGAAAATTTTAGAGGTAATTCAAACAAAATAGAAGTTTATAGTGTAGAAGATGAAAATGGTAGATTCTGCTGGTTTTCTTAATATTATGATGTGTCTATTATTATTATTTTTAATTTTAATTTTAATTTTTATTTTACCATTTATCTTTCTGTCTCCTGGCTTTAGGAATAGCTGAGTCAATGGTACTCATTTGAGAAGAAGGTTCTGGTTTTGTGACACACGTTTTTGAGATGAGGAACTGAGCGTCTCAGACTTGTCCATAGCCATAGCTGGCTCCTGCTTGTGTGGCCAGGATCTTTGCGGCCAGGAACATTTTCCTCACTTAACAAACGTTTGTGTAGAAAAGATGGTAAGAGAAGAGACTTCCACAAGCCAGGGGTCTTGGCCTTTCTTCTCTACCAGAAATACCCATCACATCGGCCTGTCTGGTTCCAAGAATGTGATTCTGGAAACATAGCTGCAAATGAATAAAGAGTCCAGGGAAAGTTCTTTATCAGCAGGAGAATTATTTTATTCCGTGTGTTTCCTTACATGAGTTGGGACAATAAGGGGAAAGAATGAGAAGAAATAAAAGGCCATTAGTTAGGCCACTATAATGAATCACGCCCCAATGTCATTACCCATCCCTGGTCAGGAAAAGCTTGAGTTTTTCCATGCCAAGAAAAACAGAGGGCAGGAAGAAACAAATTATGACCTTGTTTGTGTTTTTGTGTCTTAACTATCTGATTTATGGCCCTTGATCCAGTGATTATGGATGAAAGAAAATATTTCAGTGTCCCAAACCTAACCTGAACTTAACCGGGGGTGGATCTCACGTCCACTGCTCCAAGTTAGCATGAAGTTAAAATGTTTTGAGAATAAAGGATCAGGGCTGCCTATAGGCATTTTCAACCCTGTGGCGAGGCCAAATTCCTTTCCCACACTCCAGTGCGTAAAACTCTGTTCAGAAATTGCACCTATTTTTCCCTCATTGGAGATGTTGAGCATTTATCTATTCAACAGATGGTTAGTAAGTAAGTACCTACTGAGTGTCACATACTGCATCTGAGACTCTCAGACTTGTCCATAGCCATAGCTGGCCCCCGCTTGTGTGGCCAGGATCTTTGCGGCTGGATGTAATGTTGAACATACACATCAACTCACTGTAATGGACGTAATGTTGAACATACACATCAACTCACTCATCCATCAGAAAAAAATGTGTAGCCAGGAGCTCTATGGAGAGAAAACAATAGAACGATTTGTCAGAAGGAAGCTGCGTGGCCACGAGGATGAGGTGGGAAGCCCCGGCCTCACTTAGGCACTGATCTTCGAACTGAGATTAAAGTAAGATCCACATGTGAAGCTGGAGTGGGGAGACTGTCCAGCCAGGGAGAACATCCCCCAAGACAGGTTCATGCATGGCATATAAATGTTAAGCCATCTCAACACAAAAGAAATTTCTGGCCAGTACAATCATTTTTCAGAATTTGCTCTGGGTAGAAAGTTGATAAATTCAGCCGGGCGTGGTGGCGCACACCTGTAATCTCAGCACTCGGAAGGCTGAGGCAGGAGGATCACTGCAAGTTTGAGAACAGCCTGGGTTACAAAGTGAGCTCAAGGCCAGCCTGAACTGCATAGTGAGACCCTATCTCAAAAAGACAAAAAACAAAATGACAGTTGATAAATTCCTTTCTGACTAGACTAGAGAAGTTCACCTTCAAGCATAAGAAGAGAAATGCCAGTTAAAACCACAACCTCCTATACTGCTGGGATTCGTGTGTGCCCTACAATGTCTGGCAAAATGACAATGTGATACAAATATTTAAACCACTGAGATTGGATTAATTCAAAAATTTTGATAACACGCTGTATACATCAGGCTGGGTAAACTGGCACTCAAATACATTGCTAGTGAGACTATAAATTGGTGCAACTACAGAATTTCAAATGCATACATGTATCTTTGACTCAAGAAAAATTCCTTTCCTTTTTTACACGATTATAATAATATAAGACCAAGATTATTAATTACAATATTCTTCATGATTGCAAAAGATTGGAAACAATTGAAGTCTCCATTAATAGGAAACTACTTATATTATGGTATATTCAAACCAAAATATGAATGCTAAGCTATGGAAAACTTTCAACCTGTAAAAAGGAATGAGGAGATTCTCTCTGCATCAATATCTAATTTTTTTTCAGTGCTGGGCATGAACCCAGGGCCTCATGCATACTAGGCAAGCTCTTCACCACTGAGCTACATCTCTAGCCCCTAATACCTAAATATTTCTAAGATATGTCATTAAATTATTTGTTTGTTTTTGTTTTTTTCTGTTACCAGGAATTGAACTCATGACCTTGTGCTTGCCAGGCAGGCGCTGTGCCGCTGAGCTAAATACCCAGCCCCTATGTCATTAAATTTAAAAAGACCAAATATGCACACGCCTGTTGTTCACTATGTTTTATATTAAAAGAGTAAAGTAAGCATATAATCCTATATTTACTTGCATTTGCATAAATTCAGGAAAGATACACATAAAATTAATAAGTGACAACTGGGTGGATACATGGAGAGGATGGAAACCAGGTAGTGGGCAGAAGACTTTTTATTGTACATTTCTTAATTTTTAGTTTTCAATCATGTAAATACAGTGTAGATTAAAAAATTAAATTAAAAAATTATCCCGGGGCTGGGGATTTAGCTCAGTGGCACAGCGCCTGCCTGGCAAGCACAAGGTCGTGAGTTCGATTCCCAGTACCAGAAAAAAACCAAAAAAAAAAAAAAAAAAAAATTATCCCATCTCCTAGAGCAGTTTATCATCTAATCAAGCATTTTCACATCTCCAGCCACACCCCTGATAAAGTTCCTACTTAAGTAAATGTGGATTATGATTAATAAAAAGTATATTAGTAATATCAACAATATCTTAATAAAACATTTCAAAATACACTATGGGCAGGGGGTATAGTGTAGTGGTACAGCACATGCTTAGCATGCCTGAGGCCCTGGGTTCAATGCCCAGCACCGAAAACCACTAGAGGTCAATTTAATCACTATATATCTTTCTATGCCTTGCTACTCATTCTCAACTATTGTCCAAAGGCAGTTGGAACATCTGAGGGTAAGACTAGCCTAAAGGAAACTCTGTGGTTTTGGAAATATGATATTTCAAAGTGGCCTTTGCCTAATACACTACAATAAAAACAGTGACAGTAATTTAGTCTGTATACTAGATCATCTTTAACAAAAAGAATCCTCTACATCGTGGAGAGCTTCACAATTTCAAATTTTTTTCACATGTTTTTTCAGTGGCTCAACATCTGGGAGATACTGCAACCTTTTAATGTTTTTCTGTTATTGTTTTTGTTTGTGATGCTGGAAATCAAATCTAAGGCTTCTTGTTTGCTAGGCACACAATCTACCACTGAGCTACATCCTCGGGCCCTACTTTCCGTCTCTATAGATACGCATCTTCTTGAGGCTCTTTAATAATGGTGCTGGAAAAACTGGCTTCTCACATGCAGAGATTAAAACTAGACCCATATCTCTCACCATGGACTAAACTAAACTCAAAATGGATCAAAGATCTAAACATTAAAACAGAAATACCAAATCTGCTGGAAGACAGAATAAATAAAACTCTTGAAGACATAGGTGTAGGCAAAGGCTATGAACAAAACCCTGATCACACAGAAAATACCACAAAAAATCAACAACTGGGATTATAGCTTATTAAAAAGCTTTTGCACAGCAAGAGAAACCACCAACAGAATGAAGAGACAACCCACAGAGTGGGAAAAATTCTTTGCTAGCTGTTCCTCAGACAAAGGACTACTATCTAGAATATATAAAGAACTCAGAAAAATCAGACCCCTCAGATTTAAAGACCCAGTCCAAAAATGGCCATCTGAAATGAATAGACTCTTCTGAGATGAAGAAGTAGAAATGGCAAATAAATATATGAAAAAAATGTTCGATATCACTGGTCATTTGAGAGATGCACATTAAAACAACACTGAGATTCCATCTCAATCCAGAAAGAGCGGCTATTATGAAGAAATCAATCAATAACAAATGCTGGAGAGGCTGTGGGGAAAAAGGAACCCTTCTCCACTGTTGGTGGGAGTGTAGACTGGTGTAACCACTGTGGAAATTAGTGTGGAGATTCCTCAAAAAACTAAAACTAGAAGTTCCATTTGACCTAATATTCCCCTTCTTGGTATCATCTTAAAAGATTTAGAAGTATCATACCACAGTGATATATGCACACCCATGTTTATAGCAACACAGTTTATAATAGCTAAATCTTGGAAAACAGCCAAAAGTCCCACATCAACTGATGAATGGATAAAGTAGATGTGTTTTTTTGTTTAATATACAATGGACTATTATAAAGAAGGGTAAAAAGAAGGTAAACTTCTGGTATAAAGAAGGATAAACCAGATATTTCTAGGTAAATGAATGCACCTTGGGACCACACTCTTAAATGAAATAAATCAGACACACATGTGTAAGTACCACATTTTTTTGCTCTGGTGTGAGAAACTTAAAATGTATGTTAGATATTGTGGGGTTTTTTGGTCTTGGGAATTGAACTCAGGACCTTGAGCTTACAAGGCAGGCATTTGTGCCATTGAGCTATATCCCCAGCCCCAAGATACTGTGAAGTAGGAAGAAAATGTTCAAACGAGGGAGGGAATGAGGGAGGGGAGGAGGGGAAGGAAGGAATGGAAAAGAAAAAAAGAATAGAAGAAAGAATGGAACAAAGGTTTTGTAAATAAGCCAGGGAAGGGGGTTGAATGGAGGGCGGAGGAGTGGGAAAAAGAGTCAAGGGATATCATGTACAGGTACACATTCCCTCTGATAAATGTTATCTATTAACACTATGTGGATCTAAAATGTTTTTTGTTTTTGTTTTTGTTTTTTTTTCTGGTACCGGGCATCGAACTCACGACCTTGCGCTTGCCAGGCAGGCGCTGTGCCGCTGAGCTAAATCCCCAGCCCCCTGTAGATCTGAAATGTATCAATCAAATTTTTAAAAAGATATGCATCTTCTTGAAATCTTGTGTGAGTAAAATCACGTGGTGTATAGCAGCTTGCTGTGGTAGCACAAGCTTGTAAGGTCAGTATTTTGGGAGGCTGCAGCAGGAGAAATTCCAGGTTCTAGCTGAGCCTGGGCAACTTAGTGAAGGCTTGTTTCAAAATTTACAAACGAGCTGAGGATGTAGCTCATTTCAATCCCCAGTACTGGGGGAAAAGATCATCTAGTATATGATCATCTGTGACTGTCTTTTTTCCTTATTATGTTTCTGAGATACATTTACATTTTAGTGTGTTATTTTCCCTACTGAATATACCACATTTGTCCATTTATCAGTTGATGGGCATGTAGCCTTTTAGCTGTTATGAGGTTTCTATGAACATTTGTAAACAAGGTGGGTTTTGTTTTGTGGTGCTGGGGATCAAAATACATAAGTTTCTGTGTAAACACGTTTTCAGT